CTGGCTTGCTCCCTCCATTTCCAAGACAACACCCTCCCACTCACCCACCTCCAAACAGTACTGGCACTACATATTCCTGACCCTTCTTATTGGCATCTGTGCCTATCAGCCAGGACCAGGCCTCTGTCCCAACGTTAACCTGGCACACAAGCCACACAACAGAGCCCCAGTCTTGGCATAACCATCTCAAGAGAGGGGGAGTTGCTGTCTGAAGCATATGATCTTACACAAGAATTTTCTTCTTGAGGGGAAAAAAAAAAATCAAAGAGAATTCAAACCTCACCCAGTTTGGGCAGGGAAAGAATGGTATCCATTGGGAAAGACAGGACAAGGTTGAGAGGAAGTGAGGATGGGAATGGGACATGATCACACAGGTCAGAGAAGTTCAGGTGGGTAGGGAAGGAGTAAAAAATGAGCCCAAGGCAGGTAGATCCACAAAGTGACCACACCAGCTTTCCCCGCATCCCAGAATTCAGCTCCCAATTGTCTTTCCCTCCCTCACCCCTGAGTCAGAGGACACTGGTGAGATGAGGAAAGTAAAGCATTGCATGATTAACTGGAGACACCAGACATTAGCCCCGTTTCTGAAGTACCAGGGCTATGCTGTGTGGGCATGAGGAGGTAAGCACTCTCAGACTGTCATCCCTGCCTGTACCCTGCATCCCTGGCCAGAGGGTGTCTGCCAAAGAGCCCAACCCACTCTGTTGCCCCCCCACCCTGGGGGAGAAGTGCATCTCACTGCCCACATATCTCTATGGCAACCACTGCCTCCAACTCAAGGTACCCAGAAAGAAAACAAACAAATAAGTCAACTTTATAGCCAATGTAGAGGAACAGCAAGAGACAGGGGCTGGGAGGGAGATAGTAAGGCAAGCTCTGCTGGTGAGGGTAGAGAGAGGCTCTCGGAGCAAGAAGGCAGAGACCCTGCCAAACAGGCCTCAGAACAACTGTCAACATGACAGAAGCCCACTGTCATCCCTGTGGAATTTTATAGCTTCTCCGATGCTTGGGGACATCTATTATATCTCTTACCCCAGAGATGCCTGGGTCATTACTAGCCATAGCCCACGTCTTCACCAGGGCATCTGTCCGGCTCCCAATGTATTTATGGCATCCTATTGCCCAGCCCTAATTCCTTTCTCTGAATCTCATAAAATTTGTCCCCCTGCTGCACTCTGCAGCCCTCGATGACCCAACCTATCCACATACCTCTGTACTCACTGGACCTGTTCACAGAGCACTTCACACATTACTGGGTCTATACCTATCAGGTGAGGTGAGTTTGGCAAGCACCCAATACAAGGTTCAGGGAGTGTAGGTTCCAGGCGTGAAAGACAGGGCATGACCCTCCTGGCCTCAGGTACTTGGAGGATCTCACAAGTTCGGGCTCCAAGGCCTGGCCCTTTACAATCCTCAGACCGTTAGGCAATTCTGCTCCCACCCAGACCAGGCCATTGAGAATTCCAGACCATGCGGCATCACTCTCCACACAGGACAGGCTGCATCTGCTGCTGTACCACCAACTTTGTAATTTGATCAAAAAAGCAATCAAGTTCATCTGGCAGGATTTGTTCCCAGAAGCACTCGCCAGTAGCAACCTCCCCTGGTGTTTACAGATTCCCTTCCCTTGGGAGTCTGTTCTGCCTCCTGGTGGGCAGGGGGAGGCTGGATTTGTCAGAGCTGTTCACTTACTGCATTTCCATCCTAAGTCACCACTGTGGCCTAGGGAGTAGGACAGGCCTGGAGTAGCTACCACTGCCCCAAAAAGAGATTCCAAATGGCCCAAATTAAGAGCTCTCTATTCCATGCCACCACCACTCCCCATATCTTCTCCCTCCCTAAAACCGTAGCTCCCTTGAGCCCTCTGAATTGCTCCTCCTGAGGCTACCTGCATCTTTTACATCTTCACTCTTTTCTACCTGAGCACTACAGGTTCCCCATGCAACTCCTTGCCTGGCTTCAAAATCCACCCACCCTGAAATCCCAACACTTCTCCAAGTACTAAAACAAATTGTGCAACCCCCAACTCTTGGGAGCATCTTCAGAGGAAGCCATAGTCCTTGGGGACACCCCAGAGAGAGACCAAGCTAGGGAACACTCACCCCGGGCAGACAACTTCTTGGTATTGATGATTTTTGCTGCATACTCCTGCGTGGAGGTCTTCTTCACACACCTGCGGACCACAGAGAAAGCACCCCTGGAGGGAGAAGGGGGAAAGAACTGGGACACGAAGCACAGCGACACAGACATGCTTCAGGTTTGAGAACAGGGATGCTCCCTAACCTTTAGTCAAAATCTCTCTCTCTCTCTCTTTCTCATGCGTGTGCGTGCACACACACACACACACACACACACACACACACACACACACACACACATCCCAGCATAGTGACCATCACCATCCATCACCAGGCAGGAGGATGAGGCCACTGCATGATACTGAACAGATGTAGGTGGAGGACCACTGCACTCCCACTCCCACATCCAGCTGCTGGGCAAAGCAACAGCTCCCACCTCAGGCTGTACATCAGAAGCTGGTGGGCTATGCTTAAAACACACACCTGCTGCATCACCCGAACAGACCTGCAGTCCCAGGCAAGAGAGCCAGAGAAGGAAACATAGAGACTCTGCCCTTCTCTCAGCAGGAATAGTTGAAGGTAGGGGAAAGAGAGATTAGGAAGAGGGTATAATCCCCTGAGAGAGAAATCTCCCTCAACCGTGGGGGAAGGTGAGGAAAGTGAGGTTCAAATCTCCCACAACCGGCTTCAGCCCACTTCATGCCACTGCATCCAAGCTCAATTGACAGCAGGGAAAGAGAGGATCCAGTTGTGGGTCTCAGAAATCAATAGCTCCCCTTCCCTGTGATATTTTCCTCTACGTTCCCCCACCCCAAAATGGGAGTTCCCACTCTCCAGCTCTGGAAACATCTAGGGGGGCGGGCAGGGCGGGTGCAGCAGCGGCCAGCTCAGTGCGGAGGGGAGGGGGATGCTGCGGCTGCGGCGCGCGGCTCCCGGGACCACTGCAGGGATAGGGGGAGGGGACTGGGGGGTGCTGCAGCACAGCCCAGCACCGGGCTGGGATCCTAGAAGCGGCACTAGCGGGGGGCGGGGCACCAAACATCCCCCCCACACCCGGGCACCGCAGCAGGGTTGGAGTTGCAGGGCCGGGGAGGGTCCTGAGTGCCAGGCGCGTAGGACAGGGGACTGGGTGCTGAGTGAGCTCCTGAGCAGGGTGGGGAGGGAACGGCGAGCTGGCAGGGTCGGGATGAGGGGCGCCTGAAGGGTGCGCGAGGGGCGGGGCTGGAGGGCGCCCAGGAGCGGTCCGGGGGCTGCAGTCCCCGCGGCAGCGCGGGGTGCAGCAGCCCGGGCAGCTGCTGCAGGGCGCGGAGGGGGC